TGAAATTTTATTTTTAGGGCACCACTACTGAAACAGAAATAAGAAAGAGACGGTCCAGTTCTTATCATGTTTCCATGGATTTGTTGGAAGATCCTACATCAAGGCAAAGAGCAATGAGTATGGCCAGTATTTTGACCAACACTATGGAAGGTATGTCAAAAGTCTTGCACCACAGCTACTTGGTGGTGCTTTAGTAATGATGAGAAAAAAACTTTGGTAAATTCCAACAAAATACTTCCCGACTTGATACTATGTCATCATTGTGTATTTTACTAAGTAAAATTAAAATCCATGTACAATACGTGGATTCTGCTATCTCTCATAGATTTTTACATTTAGCCTTCAGGAAGCTGCTGCAAATTTAAGGTCTATTTGGGATACCTTCATAGATTAAATTCTAAACTGTTCAAACTTGGTGTGTGCTGACATTTGAAAGAATGTAATGATAAATGCTTATCGTGATGACAACGCTAACAAGTTTAGATTGTGTTAACTGCTTGAGACACAGGTTATGAAATCCCAGAATTTAACCAGAAATATAAATGAAAAATGTGAATCAAGATATGATTTGATATTAACCTCATTGAAGCAAAGTGTTTAAAATTTTGTAATCCTAACTTTTGCCTTTCTCTGACCAGATCAGATTATAACAATATATCAGATTTCTCTTTAGTTGCAGCTCCTATCTGAGTAGTTACCATAATGTTTAGAAGTCTGGATCTCATAATGCCAAAATAAAGACTTTGGAGGCAGCTTAATCTGTGATCAATTTCTAGTTCTGCCACATGTTAAATGTGTTAATTTGTGAATTTGAATTTATTTCCTCACCAGTAAAATGTGGATAATGATGTTTAGGCATAAGGTTTTTGTAAGGATTAAATAAAGCATCATAGAAAAAACACCTATGTACTTGATAAACAGGAGACAGTCAATAAATATTATCATTTTTAGTTGTCTTATTGTTGTTATTTTTGTTCATTCACATGTTTTTTCCTTTCCATACTGTAAGGGATTCAAACATGAACTAGCAACTTCAACTACTCGGAAAAAGCTTTCGTGTAACATGTATTCTATCCTCTCCCTTGAGCTCATATTCTGTCCTCTCCCTATGTCTTTACAACCCACTTCTACCCAGGTGTGTGAGTGTGTGTGTGTGTGAGCACATGTGTGTAGATGTATCAAAGGAGAAAGAGAAAAGAAGGAGAAACGAAAGTGAGAGAGAAGCTATACACGTGTCTTTCTTGTAATTACAGTTTCTCTTGAGATTGGGTTGATACCAGGAATAATTCTTTTCCAGTCTGAATGCAAAGATCCCATGATATTAATACCAATACCAAAAGCCTAACAGTCACATCCAGAAAAAACTCACAGTGTAGATGACCGTGTATATCAGAGACTAGTCAGTATTACAAAACCCAATCTTCATAACGTCCTAATGCAGTATCAGAAATCTTTTCACTGATCTCAATGGAATATTAAACTCTAGTACGTTCTCCCCCAACCTCGCCTGCGTTAGCTTGCACCCCCTTTTCCCCCCCAGCTACCAGTAGCTTGCTCCTCCCTGTCCCTCCAGGTAAATCTTTTGAAGATTCTCTGGTCTTCTGCTCCTTGCCATAGCAAAACCACTGAGAGGAAGCTGCCAGTGGTTCTGCTACCGATGTCAGCAGCATGTCTGCTCCCTAAAGCAGGAAGTAGAGAAGGAGACAGGGTAAGTCTAAATCAACAGTCATACTTTGCACTTCTGATAGCATTAAGTTTGAGCTAACATAAGAAATTACTTTAAAAAAACCAAACTGCCACAAGATTGGACTGGTCCACTAATTAAGACATGGAGTTCAAAACGAATGCACCCACATCTCCCTCAGTGGAAATACATCTGTTTCATGGAGTTGCTTAGGATGAAAAGGATGTCCTAGATATAAATATAATTTAGAAAGCAGCAGATGGAGAATGTTTTGGTTTTAATATCTACAGAGCTTTGGACTTTGTATTTTTGTGAGGGACAATGGCTAAATTTTCATTCTATTTTTCATCAGTTATGTAACGAAAAGGTGACTTTTCTTTAATTATATCTAGACACTTTGAAGGTGACATTGGTCAAGGGTGGCTGTTAGCAATATTAGCACATACATGCATACTCCAGCTGACTTTAACATAGTCCTTTTTTTGTTCCTCATGATGTTGGAAAGGTTTCTTGCTTGACATAATCTGTTTATCTGGGGATTCTTTCTTCAGAGTCTGATTGTTGTTTAGTTCACCTTCCTTTCTGATGAATCAGGTTTGTTGATCCTGTTGGCAATTTTTGTTTTCTTTCTTTTTGACTACAGCCAAGTCTCCATTGTCCAGGGTACTGAATAGCCTCATGCTTAATGAAGCAATAGCGGATGAGCAAAAATGAATTGTTTGCTTTTCAAGTTTTTTTTTTTTTAAATGCAAAACCATTTAGAAATGTTTCCAGGACACACCTTTGTGAAGGATGGTGGGAGGGTGAGTTAGAAGGACCTGAGTAATCAAGGTGAGCCAGCAAACGAGACACACTTAGCTGTAAATGATACTCAGTGTGGAAAACCCACACAGGAATAATGGAGAGGTGGCTGTGGTTCTCTCCTGAGTGCTTCGCTTCATTTCAGAGTGTGAGATTCTCTTTTTTTGAATGAATAATTGAATAATTTTATTTTAGAACTTAAATTTGCTCTGGTTTTTCCTAGTGTCAAGACGAGCAACACCTGCTGCATTTCTCCTTTTGAACTTTTCTTTATTTTTTTCTACACAATTTCTGTTTGTTTCTCTTTATCTACTAAATGACAGCTAGCATTAAAAGAAAAAAACGTATTCTGATAGTATACAGATAAAGTGAAATATTGTGATTTCTCTTTTGTTATTT